TGCTGCTACTGCAGATCTGCAGTCTGTTTATTTTAATAAATGCTTTTTGAATTAATCCCACTGTCAGTCTTGCCTGAATACTGGATCCTTCCATTCTGATCCTTGACAATTGAGGGACGGGCATAATGGTGGAGTTAAGGGGCCTATGGCTGAATTCTTTTTTTATAAGATAGGAAATAAGTGAATAATAAGGTCTGCTTTATAAACCTAATTAAGTTTCATCAATCGGAACTTCTGATTCTGGCCTTTTCTTTAATCTAGGGGCTACAACACAAAAGAGAAAAAAAATGTACCACTGGTTTGACATCAGCATTAGCAGTTCTGAATGCAACAGAAAAGGTACACAAGTTAGCCCCGGTTTACACATCAAAGGATATGTCTTTAACCACCTGATTTGTATTCAACTAAAAGGGCATTAAATTATTAAAAGCCCTTCACTGCTCTTGATATGCAAAAATATTAGTAGATATATAAATAGTATACATTTATATTGCGGTTTATAACTATTACCAAGAATCAAACAAACTGAAAGAAAAACAAAGCACATTGAAGCTGCGCCATGATTCAATAAACATTTACTGCATATATTAATGACATTTAATAAATCAATGCATAATAAATCAATGCATGTTGAACATGATGAACTGTTTCGATTGGTTAATCTGCAGGAAGCTCTCTGAATAAATCTGAAAACAATGCTAAATATATATTATGGCAATCTCTGTTAACATAACAGAGATTTCACATCTGCATCACTTCCAAAGAAGAAGGGTAATATTTTGAAATATTGTTCAGTATTCATTAATCAATGTAAAACTAAGTTCTTCTAAGGTGATCTACAGATACACCTTTAGTTTATTCCTTTTTTTGACTTGTTTGTTAAAAGTCTGGAATATTTCCACATTAGTTATTTGATTATAATTATGAGAAACACTTGGGAAAATGGCTGTGCACCTACAACGACAGGCCAACCAAGGAGATTATAACCAGAGATGTATGGTAGAGACCAATGGTAACTCTAGAGAAGCTGCGGACATTCACAGCTCCGAATGATAAATATGTTGACATGAAAAAAGAAACCATTTGCTTCTTTTAAGAAGTCAAGTAGGGGACACGGGAAGTATGAAATGTTATATACAGAAGTGTCAAGTAACGAAGTACAAATACTGACTTCTGCTCATTACATTTTCACACAAGTATCTGTACTTTCTATTCCTTGCATTTTTAAAACAAAAGTTTCTCGTTACTCTTGGCTGCTGTTTGATGTTTATAAATATTTTTTTCACGTCATTTGTGCCATCCAATGCAGATCATTGCCTCATCCACATCTAGTGAAAACTAGTGTCATTGGATGAGTCATATAACGCAAACACTCATTGGTTAGCTGTTCGTCAAATTTATGCTGACGCCAAAGGAAATCATCAGAAGCAAGAAGTTGTTCTTTAAACTGTAAACATGAATTGTCTATGCCATGCTACAATGTCGGATTCAGAAAAAGATGTCGAAATGTCTGAAAGGTTGGACACAGGCGAGAGCGTATCGGTAGATGGAGACCAACAAGACCTCCCTCATCCTTGGCCCTATCTCAAAGAATTTTTCGAAATAGTCAAAAAATTAAGCTTTGAATTCATATAATGGCATCTGGCTGTTTTTTTTTAAAGGTTACTTTATACTTTTATACTTTAAGTAGTTTTTGGAGCACATGCTGTTTCACTTTTACTTGAGTAAAGAGGTCAAGTTGATAATTCAACTTTTACCAGAGTGTTTTTAAACTACAGTATCTATACTTCGACCTCAAGTAACAGATGTATGTACTTTTGACATGACTGGTTATATCCTGTATGTAAATCCTAGATGCAAAGTGCTATGCATTGCAAAACAGTAAAACTGTTCAGCCCGAAAACTCTGCCACATAGTGAAGAATGGTGGTGGCAGCATCATGATATTGATGGATGTATGGATCGATCCAAGCAAAAATTCAGGATAAAAGAATACTATTATATCCTTGTCAAAGTCTAGACCTAAACTCAACTGAAAACCTGTGGCGGGAACTCTTGCCAGAACTGACTAAAGTAAGTTATGTAGATGTGTGAAACTGGATACCCCAAGGGATTTGTAAAAACAAGATTTACTCTGCTATGTGTTGGTCCATCCCATATTATATTAATAAATTACACTGATGTTTGTATTTACTGTATTATATGACATTGATGGGGAAAAAAAGATGTATTTTTGCAGTTAGGGTTCCATGGTTCTGGATGTCTTTCAGTGACTATCTCTTTACAGGGGTGGAGATAGATGGGTGGCCAGGGGTGGCCATGGCCACCCTTAGCCAATCATTGGCCACCCCTGTGGCCACCCCTACCATTTATTTCCCTCTAATACAGATGGTGGCAAGAGTAATAATCTCAAGTGGAATATTCAAAACGTTAAAATTTTTCATATATTAACCATTACTTGACAACAAAAACACTGTGGTTAATTATGCACATCAATATACTAACGTTAAAAAGGATAAATACAGAATTCAAGCAGAAATAGATTTTGTGTTTTGTGGGGTAAGGAGAAAATAATGTGTCTCTGCAAGTCATCTAGGAGTCTTCAGTGGAATCATAGATAGATAAAAAAAAATTAATAAAAACGTATGTTATGTTCATATTAGTACTCATAAAAATCAATTTAATGCAGAATTATTATTGATAAAAGTAGGTAAGTAATGACAATGGAAAAGATATACGCCCTCAGATCTCAAAACTGAAATAATTTTATCCACTATACCTTTTATGTAGAAAGCACGGCTGTTTGAATATATATTTGTCTAATTGTTAGCAAAGTCTGTGGGATAGTATGGTTTGTCTTTATTTAGAAAATATGGATGTTTTGCTTGTTAATTTTCCTGTTGGAACAGTGTAGATTGACCGTGAGGTTTTGGTGCCTATCTACTTTCAGCCACCCCTCAGTCTACATTAAAATGTTCTGGCTACGCCTCTGTCTCTTTAAGAGCGGTTACCTGAGAGGAGGGGGACAGGTGTGAGTTGGTGAACATCACGCCAAACTGCCTCTCTGACCGTTCCTCGCTCCTCTCAGACGTTAAAGCTCATAGTGGGGGGGTTAGGGGTCAGCTCGGTGAATCTCACTCACTTTCTCTCCCTCAGCATCTCGGAGCCTGAGCCCTCACGCCAACTCAACCGTCAGTGACGTCTGCATCACGTGTGCGTCTCTTCCCTCGGTACGTCCGTCGTATTTTTCCTCCCCTCCGCTTCTACACCGAGAGCAGAGCAGAGCCGAGCCGAGCCAGACGAACAGAAAGGACCCTCTGAAAGAGTGTCGCCGCCCGGGACCTGCCTGACACCGGCTGTCACGTTTGCCTGTGAGCCGATGGACGGAGGGGTCTCCTTCCACCTAGAAGTTCATCCGTTAAGTCCATTAGTGGCTCCTCTGTGTGCCCGTTCAATGTAAACTTTTTTATTTATATTTTTCAACCCTTCACTGAGTTCCAACAAAGGGAGGTGAGTACGTTCATCTTTCGCAGGGTTTCACCTTTACTAAAACTTAGTGGAGCTGAGGGCAAAGCTTCACCTCTGTGGTCTTTGGCTCAGCAGCGGCGGCCAGCTGCATGTCGCCTGCTTAAAATGGCGACAGCCGACGGGGGTGGGAGAGACGGAGAGGCGGTGTAGTTTTGGGGGTACTTGGGGGGCTCGCCTCTTTCCTCCGGTCTGAATTGGTTACTGCCTGAAAGAAAAAACAAACCCTGGGTTATGAATATGAGCACATCAAGTTGCGTCTCACTCCGCCTGAAGTTGAGCGGAAGATGCATCATTTTCAGATACGATAGAAGCTGCTGCTCTTAGGGACTCACCGAGACACTTCTTACAAAAATACACCCCGTTTCTAATTAAAAATACTTTATTCAATTGATATCAATTAGACCTATGTTGCTTATTTTTTACGTTAAAACGCAATTTGCTAAAGATTATGAAAGAAATAAGAAATGACAGCGGTTCAAAGCACTCCTGTCTGTGTTCTCCTTTTTAAATCGTACAGGTAATATATAAGAACTATTATGACTTAAACTGCCTTTAGTTTTAATGATCTAACACGGATGATTTTAAGAATAATAAGCAGCAATGTTACAGTGTGTGAGCTGTTAAGGTTATGATTTAAGATGCAGCAGTCAATCAGCCCAGATTCCTCTAATTGGTGTTGATTATTAACTATTGGTGAAATAAAAAATTCATCTTTGTCATAAAGCACTACAGATTATCAAAAGGTGGTGGTCCAGCAGAATAAATCTGATTTATTTGTTCTTTTGTCATTTAACACAATCTACAACTCCATCTATGTTAGTGTTTAAAGAAAGCTTTTATTTTTGATGTACCTTTTTTGAGCTGAAAACAAATCAGGTGGTTAAAGACATGTGCTTTGATGCGTAAAGAAGAGTTAACTTGTTTACCTTTTAGTTTATTTTGCATTAGGAGCTAACCCTGCCTTCATACTAGCACATTTTTACCAGAATCAGAAGATTAGATCTATAAGGAAACTGATGTCTAAGAAAATCTGATTGGTGAATTTGTGTGTGTCTTGATATTGTTGTGATTAGTGTGTCAATCCCAGGATTAAAGCAAAGCTTTTTCAGGAAGCTAATTTGTGTCTGACGTCCATGTGACCCTCAGGTTAGACACACGGCTTAATCCAGCTTTCTGTTTATCACTCTTAGTTCACCCTCACTGTTAGCCACTTGCCACATCACTGCTGATGGTTACATGGAGAATATAAATATCAGAGGTCATGGATGGTCAACTGTGCTTTATAGTGTTAAACCTTCCTGTTATCTGCTGAAAGTCTAGCTTTTTCACAGGTTGCAGGCATACCTCTTTTTCACACATTTAATTTTTCAGTTTGCATCCAGCCAACCAGCAGTCACGGCCAATTTAGGTTAAAGCTGATTAAATGAAGTCACCATCTGATTTTCCCACATGAAACTGGCTAATCAACACTGACTGAATTTTGAACATATTCTGAAGCTTTGTATTCAAATTTGCCTCAGTCTCCTTTCAAACTTTTATTCAGTCTGGCATTTTAGCTTTAATACTACTAGTGTTATTCCAATCTGTGATACAACAATCTCATCCAGTCCAATCTCTTATTCTAATTTAACTGTAGCTGCAGTACAGCTAGAAAATAAGATGGTGCTGAGTGTTTGTGTTCCTCACCTGCACTCACTGCTGTCTTTTCTTTGCAGGTTTAACTAAACCAGCAGAAGCACAAAAAGTTGGTATATGCATTTATGCTATGACCATTTCACCCTTCAGCTTGCTTTATGTTTGCCTCAGTAACTCCAATTTTTATGTATTTAATAAGTTCTTTCATGAGTCGGTTGCACTTTTCTATTTCTATCAACCCGTCTGATGATGATGATTCATTTCTTACCAGGTATGAACGAAAACAAAAAAAAAACCCGGACCAAGCCTGTAGGCCTTTGGATAAATGCAGCATCTCCGTTCTGCTTGCCTGGTGAACAGCCTGTGATGTCAGCCATTTTAGGTTGGACTACAAAGAGCAGCCGCCATGTTTCTCTCCCTCCCCTCTCAGCAGTCCAGTTTAAATCCATGCACCAGCAGCAGCGCAGCCCACGCAGCCCATCCTCTCCATGACCTGAGGAGCAGCCCACATTGCCACTCAGGGATCAGAGGAAGGAATCCGTAGAAGCACTGTAATTTAGGTTCCCTCTTTGCTGCCAGTATTGTGTGAAAGAATCAAGACGATGATGGACACAAGTGTAGGATGCACACAAGATGTGATTTTGATTGACAGGTGGAGGTTAGCCGGTAGGTGCTGGTTGACGGTGGGAGGAAGTAGCTGAGACAAGCGTTTTTTATTCTGCTCTAAGACAAAGAAAAAAAACATGGCGGAGGATGCAGAGGTGGAACAGGGTGGCTCCTGCCGCGTAGGTGCAGACTTCATAATTGCTTAGAACACACTTGGGGTTTGAGGCTGTTTTTAGGGCCCTCCTCCCCTGATTGAGGAAGGGAGCATCTGGCGTAGCTCTTGCAACAGTGAGCATAGCAACCCGATGTTTTCCGAGGCCCCGGCAGGACCGCTGAGTGAGCTGGGGGTGGTGGTGGGGGGGGGGACAGGGCAGGATGGCAGATGTCTGGACAGAACCCAGTCAGGAAGAGACGCTGTCAGCTCTGACCAATGCAGGCTGCAACCACACCTATCAGAGAACCGTGAGCACGGCGTGCGGGAAGCAACACTGAAATAGGAGCAGGGCAGGGACTCTCCAAATACCACTGTGAGGGGTGTGAGCAACAAACAAGCCCCACTCAGGCCAGGGACTGGATGGCATAGGAGATCTATGTGTGTGTTTACCCACATGCATGTGCTTTAGAGAACTGAGCGAGTGGTGGGGGGGCTAGGAGGTGGTTGCCATGGGGACAGTAACACACCAGTGCCGCTGCCGACCTGTCTCTGAGTGCCAAAGTTGTTCAGAGAGGGAGGCGGGGATAGGGAACAGCGGGAGGGGGAAGGAGAGAGTGCAGAGATGTTTAAAATGGAGAGGGGGAAGAGGGAGGAATGAAATGGGAGAAAACAAGGAACGGCCTGAGCTCTGCTCTCATCAGGGCAACGTTAGCTGCTCCAAACAGATCCCAGAGTAACATCTGCCACCTTTCTCAGGTGTGTCTGGGCTTGTTATTTGGTGCGTGTTCAGAGCGTGTATATCAGATTCAAGAGTCGGGGTCATGTGATGAAAGGAGGTCATGCTGGGCTGAAGTCAAGATAGCTTGGGTTTTAAACAGAGGTGAACTAAGCAGGCTATTTCCCTCACAGTACCAGTTTTTCTCTTTTGTGATCTCTTGTTTCTAAAAGCAGTTGTACATTAGAATAAGAAATATATTTTTTTTTAGGTGGTCATCTTAACACTAACAGAATGAAGGAACAGATTATTCCTGTTTAATCCATCAGAGACCAGTTTCTCATTTCATCTGATTTTAATAATCTTAAAAAGCAGACATAGTTTTGATGTTTTTAATGGAAGAAATGATAAAATAACTTGACCTGCTGTGATAAACACAGATCAGCATCACTTAAAGGAACATGATCACACCATTAGGACCTCTAACCAGCTTGTTGGCGCACTTGTAGTTTTAAGATTCGAAAATGTGAATGTTCTCAGTTTTAACGCATTTAGCAGTCAAGAGGAGGAAAATATATAATTATTTTCTCCATATTCACCCGTTGATCTCCAATCAGAGCTGATCAGACAAATACTGGCCATTCCAGTCTCTGATTGATTGGTGTATCTCTAGCTTTTAACCTGGACATCTCTCTCTGTGTGACAGGGAGGCGTCAGTTTTTGCATGGTAAAAAAAAAAATGGCAGCCTCACCACCTTTGCAAACAGGCTTCCCACAGAGGCACGCAGACACCCACCCCCGCACGTTACATACAGATGCACATCGACCCACCCACTCCCTGCTCTTTACTCTAAATCTCACAGGAAATCCACACAGACAAATGTTGACTAATGCACACAGAACTCATACAGAGACATTTAGGCCAGCGTGGTCAGTCAGCGCGGTAAACGCCTAGAATTAGTGTAAAAGTCATCAGTCGATTGAAGTCGCCTGAGACCTAAACGGGCGATTTAGCCCAGCTGATGTTGGTCAGTTTCCGTCAGTGACAGCTCCCACTTCGTCTGAAACAGATCTTTTTTTGCTCACTAACACTGTGTGCTGGTTTTAGATTGAACTTTTTCATGAACTCCAGGTTATGTTCATTGGCAGAACATTCCAGGCTTCGCAGCTCAGCGCAGCGAGGAGGGAGGGGAGGGGAGGGGAGGGAGACGCTGTGTGATTGCACCTCGGAGCAAGAAGGGGGCTCTGAAATGCGGGGGTAGGCTGGCTGCAGGGTAGTAGTGGTGGGGTACGGTGGAGGAAAATTCCTCACAGAAACACCTCTGTGCTTCCTTCACGTTAGTTAACACTCTCACCCCCCCACCCACCCCCAAACGGCCTGCCCATCCCCCCTACCATCATCACCATCTACCATTCGCTCTCCCTCTCTCCTGCCACCCACACCCAGCACAACCACGTGATGGATGACTGCGACTGCCCACCCATAAGCCATTGTGTCGGCCATGTGACCAGCCTGGCTTGGCAGAGCGGTGCCCCCTGATGCAGAACTGAATGGCAGGGGTGGCGGGGGGGTGCATGGCGGCCCAAACGGAGGGCAGTTGCTCTCAGTGGGGTGGAAGAAGCGTAGCGACCCTCAGCTGCCTGTGAACCCCTCACACACACACTGTCCATCCTTAGGTCCAGATTGGTAGAGATTTTAACTAATTAGACTCAGGTTTGTAGTTTGATTTTTATTTTGCATATGTTCAAATTGGGGCTGACTTTATTCTGGCCTCCCTGTGCCTTTATAGAGTAGAACAAAGTGAACTCTTTGTATGTTGAGTGACACCAGAGTCTTGTTAAGGTAAACTGAGCTCTGAGTTCATATACTGTGACCCCTGTGTAAAGAAAACCAAGAATTTATTCATGCATTTGTCAGTGTAAGGAGAAAGCAACCAGAGGAGAGTGATCACATCCAGTCAGCTTCTTTCACACCTCGACTAAGATATGGTGCAGGAAGAGGTTTACCAGCTGTGATGGTAGCCTCAGATGAGCTTCGTGCACAGCCAGACGGAGTAAAGGTTCTGTTGAAGTGGGTTGGATGTTGAATGCATAAAAAAAAAAAAAAGTCTTTGCATGAAGATTCGATCCTCTGCATTTCAACTTCGAAAGCTCAGTGAGCTCCTTCCTGCTCTGTGCATGAGATGTCATGTTGGGGCAGACTGACTGGGAGAGTAATTGCCCTAGAGCTGTCCTTCAATACGGCATCACCGCCTCCATGTTAGGTGGAGAGGAAGGGAGCGAACCCCTCCACTCCACAGGAAGCTTCGCCCTTTCCATATAAGGACTTGAGGTTCTGGAGGTGAAGTGAACATTTTTGAGATGCAGGTTTCTTTCTGTTGGATCTGATTGCTCAGGAACACGTCTACTAAAAATAAAAATAAAAAAACTCTCAAAACGCACAGTAGATTCATTGTCAAGAACCCAAACAGAATAATCCAATATAGATTTATTTTGCAGTGTTTAGAAATGTGTTCACTGACACTTCACAGGCAGTGGGTTTAAAAAGAAATCCAGCTTGCTGTCTCTGTGGGGGTGTGTCTGAAAGGGAGGAAGTGAGACGCAGTTCCATGGGGGAGGGGAGAACTGGGGGTAGGACAGGAGCTCTCCCAAAAAGCCTGGAGTGAGGAGGCAGACTGAGACTGAATGGCATCATAAATGACGGGAAGTTTAGCCTTAGCTTGGTTTATTGCTATAAACTATTTTTTTTTTCTCTTCAGGATGTTTTTACACTGAAGGTTCTGCTGTTACATTAGTTGTCTTGTTTTGTTTTTTTATCCAGCATGATGAAAACCTAAGTAAGAAATTCTCTTAGTTTTTGTTTACTTGTCTTTATGTCTGACTAACCAAACATATTTCCATTTTCTTCCCCCCTGTTTAGGGTTTGACTTGAACCTGTACTGAGATTTACTAGGTGGGGACCTATGGACAAGCCCCTCAATTCTACTTTCCTCATGCCTGGTGTGTAGTGAAGAAGGAATCCATCTTCTCTCTCCCGCCCCTCAGCCATTTGACCGGCCCTCCCCACCCTGTGATCACACCATGGCCAGCAGAAGGAAGTCCACCACGCCATGTATGATCCCCAGTAAGATCATCCGCTCGGTAGAGGAGGTTGAGCGGGACTCTCCGGTTCCCCTCCGTCACCCCAGGGTTTCCTGCGGGGACAGGCGCTCCCCTCTGAATGTGGGCGACTCCTCCAAACCAGAGACGGGGGATGCAGATAAGGACGGCGGCGGCACTTACACCTGTAAGCCGTGCAATTTCGAAACTCACGACCTCAACCTGTTCCTAGATCACGTCTACACAGGGCACCCGGACTTCCGGGCGGACCCAGGCTTCATGTGCATGAGCTGTGGGGTTTCAGCACCTAAGTTTGAGGGGCTAGCTCTGCACAATGCCAGGGTCCACCCCAGCACTTTGAATACTACTCTGCAGCTGAGAAAACGGGACAGGAGGGTAGTGGTGGAGCAGAATCTGGTGATTGGGGCGGAGATGTGCAGAGACAGTGAGATTTCCATCACTAAAACCCCGATCATGAGGATGCTGAAGGGCAAGTCTGAATCCAAGCGGATTGTGGTGTCTCACTCCATCTCTGAAGAGCAGCCCTCAGACATTCACTCTGTCTCTATATCCAGAGAATCAGAGAGAAAAGAATCCACTGCTGCTACAGTCAGCCATGTCCCCACCATCGTCCACAATGGGACCAGCAAGGCGCCGCTGCCCTCTGCCATCCAGATCGTCAATGGCTCTGCGGGATTACCTCTGCTGAAGACACCCATCACTCAGGTAGCAGCACTACTACTCTTCTGTTTGTTTCAGGTCCTTTCACATTATTAATCATGGGTATTTCCATTTACTTTAGATTGTTTCTGTAGCTCAGAACCGAAATCTTCACCATTCTGCACCGATCACTGCTTCCTCAACCGTTTCCTCTGCTTCTTCTGCATCGTCCTCGCAAAATCTACCCAAGGTACTAGCTGGTTCTATGAGATGGTGCTAATGGTGTTTTTTTTTTTTTCTGATGCACAGAAGTCCAAAGTAATTCTAGGAGAGTTTATTAAATTCAGGGATCTGGTTTCTAAGCAAAGACCTAAGGGCTTTTTTTTTACCAAGTTACCAAGTTGAACACTCATTATACTCATTATAAAGTAAAATTTTAGTTTGTTTTCCATAATTTGTGTATGGATTAAATTTGTTTTTCTAATCCAACCCACTGAAACTTTCAGATGCGTTTTCTAATCTGAACCAGATGCTCTGGACCATTTTCTTACAGAAACATCCAACTGAGTATAAAGTTTAACATAGAAAACCTGAAAAGAATAGAAATGCATCAGGTTGTTTATCCCAGGAATTGCCTCTCATAGACTGGAAACTGCCGAAAGGGCAGCCCAACAACAACATGGACTTAAAGGAAGAATCCAATGCAAAACACACATATTTAAGCTTTACTGCGGTTTTGGTTTGGATATATATGCTAACTTTTAACCTCTCACAAGGCCTGGTACCTCAAAATACTTTTTTTTTTTTTTATGTTTAAAAAGGCCTCATAACATCATCTCATTAAAATAAGGTTAAGCCTTCAAAAAATGCAATCTTTCTGTTCCAAATTGACATTTAACTCATTGGTGAGGGAAGTGTATACAGATATGGGCAATTTCAATAGTTTCTGTTTTTGAACAAAAAGCTTCAGTTGTTTTTCTGCTTGTTCCCACTAGAGCTTAAACAATCAGATTAATCCTGTTAATCGGTTATTGAAGTAGTCGTCATCTAATTTAGTAATGGATTAATCGTTAACTGGAGTATAGACTCTAAAAAAGCCTTTAGCTGACAGAGTGACCCACTTTGTTTTTTTTTTTTATACCTAATTGTAAAATTGAATAAACATTTTGCATTTCAGAAAATGTGAAAAAGAAAACTAACTCTTTCATCCATCAATATGGTCTATTTAAAACTCTCAAACTGGAAAAGATTTAGTTTAACCTGATTTAAACTCTGTAAAAAATCCACTTTAAGGAACTTTTTGCTATCCGATTAAGTGAAAAAATAACAGATTGATTCTAAAACTGTTCTTTAATTACAGCCTTAGTTCCCACAAGGAGTGTCTGTATAATTCTGATGCCTAATAGAGTTATTATATTGTACGTCTCTGGCAGGTAATGATTCCTCTGAGCAGCATCCCCACCTACAGTGCCTCCATGGACTCGTCTTCCTTTCTAAAGACCTCCTTCAGTAAATTCCCGTACCCCACTAAGGCCGAGCTGTGCTACCTGACTGTGGTCACCAAGTTCCCTGAGGAGCAGATCAAGATCTGGTTCACAGCTCAGAGACTGAAACAGGGAATCAGCTGGTCTCCTGAGGAGATTGAGGAGGCCAGGAGGAAGATGTTCAACACCATCATCCAGACGGCGCCTGTCGGCTCGCAGAACCAAAGCCAGAGTCACCACAGCTCTGCTCCACACACTATTACGGTGCTCCCTGCTTCTCTGGGGCCCACAGGAATCCCTCAGTTCCTTCAGGGCTCTCTGGTCAGCCAGGGAGGAGTCATCGTCACACAGCCCGTGATGGCCAATGGCATCCAGGTCAGCAGCGCTCCTGTGGCCCTGGCTGTCACACCGAAGCCCCAGGCGGCAGCTCGGCCCATGATGCAGGCCCGCCCTGCTGCTGCTCTGGTGGCGGACAAATGTACCAGCATGGTGGTGGGAACGGTGGGCAGCAGCAGCGCTGGGAGCAACGTCATCACAGGGAGTAAAGGCACCAGCAGTAGCTGTGGTACTGATGGAGGGGTCATCAACCTTAGTCTTGGAAGTGGAAGCCATGGCAATGCTAAGGCTAGCAGTGTCAGTAAAACCAGCAGCACTAACGGCAACTCCAGCGACAAGAGCAGCAGTGATGTCAGCAACCGTGATGGCGGCAAAAACTCAGACAATAAACCCAGCATGAGCAACACAGTTCAGACCGATGCTAAGACTCCCACAGATGGAAAAGCTGCCACCAGCGAAATCTCGCAGAGCAAAGATGCTAACGCTTGCAGTAACCATAACAACGCAGCCAGTACAAGGACAGAGGAAGCAGATCCTTCTGCTTGTGACTCTCCAACCATCAAAACCGAAGAGGCTTTGTCACCCGCCCCAAAATCTTCCTCCCCTTCTCCTGCTGTAGCTCCTGGCAGCAGCTCCGGCTCCAGGACGACCTCCAGCTCCTACCTGGACTCCAACTTCTACAAAGGCAAGAAGTCTCAGGAGCAGCTCAGTGTCCTGAAGGACAGCTTCCAGGTCAGCCAGTGGCCCGACCAAGAGGAGGTGGACCGCCTCATCGCTCTAACCGGCCTCACAGTGCGGGAGGTCCGCAAGTGGTTCAGCGACAGACGCTACCACTTCCGCAACTGCAAGAGCTCACGCTCCAGCACAGGGGGGCAAACTAAGCCCAGCGCCGCTTCTGGAGGAAGCAGCAGCGCAGGAACCGGCGCCCCAGTTGATCTGTCAGAAAGTAGCAGCGCACAGAATGCTAAAACAACCCAGCACAGCTCCCCACCTCCTACCCAGACCCCCACATCCCCCAGTAATCCTTCTAGGAGGCCCTTCAGGTTGCCCTCACCTGATTTTACAGCCGTCCGCTACAAGGAGAGAGACCCCCACCAGGTGAGTTCAAACCATGAGTCCTAACACCTTACCTCCTTCAAGATATTTTATTGATCTTAAAAATGTTGACTTGTTGTGTTTTGTGTTGGAGAATATTATTGACTAATTTATTTCTGTAATACCAAGACTGTGTGAAGTGGTCATTCCAGATAGTCATTTCTAATCATTTTGATGTTACAATTCATAAAAAAAAAAAATGAAAAGGAATTTAGGAGGCCAATGCCTATATTGGAGTACTTTTGGTGCAGAAGTATTTCTTAAGGAAGACTGCTGACTTGAAAGTTGTCTTGCAAACAGCCACTGATGCCTTAACAGTGAGTAAGAAGCTTGTATCCCAGCTTGTTAACTGGAAAGTTGAGTAAAAAATTATGGAAAATGGGGGAAAAGCAAAAGGAATAACCTCAGCCTTGAGGTAATTTTTAAGCATTTTAAGGTCGTATTCACATCCGCCAGGTTAAGTCCACCTTAAACAGTAAATTTGGTCTGTACAGGTGACGATCCATCAGAACCCTGGTCTGGACCAAACAACTAAGTCTGGTTTTGTTTGCTTTCTTGTGTGAAAACAAACAAGCCTTAATCCGAACCAACTAAAGGAGAAATGCCTTTTTTGGACTTGGCGAGCTCCGGCAGTGATAGTTATCGTCATACCTTAGTTGCCGTTTTTTGCCGAGCAGCTCTGCTGTGGCGGTTGGAAAGCAGAGCTCGCTGTTCAGCCTGCAGGACACTGAATCAAAACACTCACAGTGATGTTACAGTTGTAATAAAAACAAACAGAAATGCAGCACTCATGACTTCTATGGTAGTTTACTTCCATTCGTCCCGACCTCGTCGGTTCTGTCCAAGTGGAGCAGGGGTTGTCACATGCAGTCCTCGGTTTCAGAAACAGAATTACACCAAATGAAACATCTCTGCTGTTCATACATGCTGTGGACCTTAGCTGGAATCTGGGCTTTCAAACCCATCAGAACCAGGTCTGATGGTCTCCTGTAATATTTGTGACGGACCAACCTTTAACCAAAGACATGGTCTGCTGTGAAGTTGCCACAATCACTCATGATTTAGGTCTGAAGTCAGAACACCCATCTGTCAAGATATTTCTGTGCTCACCATGCTTCTGTTTAGTGAAGAGCCTAATGGAGATGCTGATTGAATTCTCCTGCAGGACTTGGTGCCTGCCCTAATTTCCAAAGCTTCTGCTTTAATGGCGGCGGCGTCGCTGGGTTTGATTGGCCAACAAATCCTTTTAACCTGAGAAAAACAGGAAATTATGGAAAAGGTTCCTAAACTCATACATGGAAACACCGGTTTGCATTTTTATGATCTGTAAAATGTTTTTCATCTCTTCTTTGCATGCGTTCCATTTAGGTTATAGCCCTGGAGGCCAGTTTTGCCCAGAACGCTGAGCCGTCAGGAGAGGAAGTGGACAGGCTGCGCTCTGAGACCAAGATGACTCGGAGGGAGATACACGGCTGGTTTGCTGAGAAGAGGAAGAGAGTCGCTGCTGAGAAAAAGAAGGAGGAGGCAGAGCGGGTACCTAAAGAGGATGAGGAGGAGATGGAGGTTGATGGAGAAGAGAGGCAGAAGGATGATGGTTCAGGGGAACCCAAGGTTAACCCCATTAAAATCAATCTGAAGATGCTGAAGGTGACCGAGGCTAGTGGTAAAATTGAGGGGGAAGGAGTGAATAATCCAGCCTTACAGTCGCAGCCTGGCAGCACACCCGCCTCCTCTCAGGGCCCCACCTCCTCCACCACAAAACCAGCTCAACCCTCTACTCTGACACCGAAAAACTCCCAGTCCCCTAAACCCACGACCGTCCGAGGAAAGAAGACGGCGGAGCAGCTTCACCAACTCAAACAGGTCTACGCTCGAACCCAGTGGCCCAGCGCCTCTCAGTACGATGAGCTGATTTCAGGGACAGGGCTGCCCAGGCCAGAGGTCGTCAGGTGGTTTGGAGACTCCCGCTATGTGCAGAAGAACGGGCAGCTGAAATGGTTGGAGGAATACCAGAACATGGCCCTGGAGAAGGAGCTAAAGAAGGAGAACGCCAAGATCCTTCAGGATCATCTGGAAACCCACGGCATGCTGGGAGACTCACAGGTACTGTCACAGTGATCGGCCTCCGCCTGCAGTGATCAGGATCAAATGTTCATTTGATGGGTTACAGAGTAAATCTGTAATCCACAGCTGAAAATGCAAAGTCTGACTTTTTAGGAGATAAATGTTCTTTGGATAGTTTTCTACAATTAATAAGTTTACTGAACAAAGGAGCTGTTGGAATATATTTCTTATCACTGTCTTTTGCTAATGTAACCGTTTTATTTTTTTAACTGTTGGGCATCCAGCTGCAGGCTAGCGACCAGTGCAGATAGCTCAGCTAATCGACCGGCTGTTTTCACCTTGTTACACTTGTTCTTCACTTAAAGCAGATAATTCAGGAGGTTAAATATTTGGTGCATGTAGTACAGGAAAACTTTTTCTAAATTGACCAGGATTATATCCTCTGCTTCTGTTTAACTCTAAAATGACAAAACTGTGATAAAAATGTGTTATTTTTGTTTTGTGATCATGTCGTTATCTGTGTCTATCTTATCATGACACTAACACTGATAGCATTACCAAGATCATTCAAAGAGAGTTAAACTCAAAGTAAATATTTAGTGCAGGTATGACTCCTGCTGCTCTGTCAGTCCAGGAATTCCCTGGAAGCTCCTTGAAAGGGACAGAACTCAGTTCTTGGATTCTCCTCCTTTCATCTGCTGCAGCTTTATCCCTAAAGAGTCTTTTGTTCATTGAAAAAACTGAATACATTTACTCCTGTTGAAAAGGCCGAATAGGGGGTAAAAAAAATCATCTAGCTGCTCTTTTCTCCGACTCTGGAGATGCAGACTACCAGGAAATACATTATTTTATATTTATTTGTTCAGACAAACATTTATTTTTTATAGTAAATATTATGAAAGAAATGGTCTTATTAAATCAAAGTAGCAAAAAATAAAAATAAAATACAGAAAACATTAGCTCCTAACACTAACCGTATGAATCTGACCATCTTGATTAGAGCTGCAAATTAAAATAAAAATGTTCTTAAAATATCAATGTGTAGAACATCAATATCTTTTTATCTATTTTGCACATTTTCCACCTCCCATTTTATTTTACATCATTACACAATGTACAACGAAACGAACTCTCTGCATTTAAACCATCCCCTTGGGGAGCAGTGGGCTGCCATTATGCGGCACCTGAGGAGCAGCGTGGGGTTAAAGGTCTTTGCTCAGGGACCCGGAGTGGCAGTCTGTGGGAGTGGAGCTTGAACTCAGAACTTCTGGATTCCAAGTGCAATGCTCTAAGCACTAGGCTGCCACCCCCACATTAGATGTTAATTTAAAATTTAAAAGCAGAAATGGAATTTGTTTTTAAATGAAGGTAACATTCCCCAGTAATCTCTCATTAAAACCATGATCTGTTCTGTTCCAGTTAAAGGAACTGGCAGAGAAGACCGGTCTGACCAGTGACTTGGTGCGGCATTGGTTCTCCACCAGAATGGTGATCCCCGACGGAAAACGAGCCGCTGTCGACAGGACGGGGACGGGCCCAGAGCCGCCATCTGCAGGATCCTCCCCTCTGGAGCCGCAGCCTGGAGGCGGGACTGAGGAGAAAATGGAGCAGTCTGTGTGCGGCGCTGCAACAGAATCAGAGGAGGCAAACACTGAAAGCTCTGCTGCAGCAGGTAATCCTGGAGTCCATCTTTGTTTTACTTAAAGGTCTCTGATGTTCAGTGAAACCTGGCCTTTTACCAGCAATATGCCTTTTAAGATTTAAATGCCACTGGGGGAAATAAAATCAACTTGAGGATGCCAATTATGTAAGGCAGGAAGAGCTGCATCAATGCTCCTGTATGTAATTATCAGGTGACACAGACGTGTTAAGGGTGGAACCCTCAAGCACACCTGTATTATGATGATGACTGAGGCATGCTGAGACAGATATTTGGTTCAACTAATGCCTGTCTGGTCCAAATGATTAGCTTTATATTCACACAAATCATTTTTTATTTTTTTTTTGCCTGCAGGAACTGAAGAAGCCTCTGTGTGAGGATGGGGTCAGCAGGGCGGGTGGTCTTTGTTCTGGGGCCCTGAGTAAAAGCCAGCAGATGGTTTTGTAACAGGATCACTGCTTTGAAATCGATCTCCGATCCATCCTCACCCGTCCTCCCCTCCCCCACTACAAGAGCTGACCGCTCCAGTCCCTCCTCGTGCCATTACAGCGACTCATTCCCTCCCAAGGAACTTCCCATCAGCCCCGTGTTCTGGGACTGGACTGAGGCCTGGTCACGTGGAAATCTGACGCTTGGCTGAACGCTGAGGCATATTGGGAGGTTGGTCATCAGCCGTCGCTGCGGGGTGCCTGCCGAGGCCTTAGATGACTTTTTCTTATTTTCAACACGTCTTCTGCTCACTTAAACGTCCAAACCTGGCTCTCTCAGCGCTTTTTGTGACTCCTAAATGCATTTTTTTTTTTGCCTAGTTTGGACAAGACTTTGTTCTGGAAGACACTTAGACTCGTCTTTGATCTAAAGGCAGGCGCCTTTTGATGTCTGAAGGAACGAGAAAAGACTGTGTGGACTATGGACCTTCTTGTAGCATCAAGTGCTTCTCTGTCTTTGTTTTTATGGAACTTTCTTAGGAATAAATGTACCTGTAAAAGAACAACTTTCACCAGAGTTCCATACTTATGCTTGATGTACAATTTTTACAGATTCATTTGGAGAATAAACAGAATGAATTCAGGCCTGTTTGATTCACTGGAAACTGTTAGATACTTTTTTATAAAACATACAGAACCCCTGTAAAATAATAGTAACCTCTGCCTGTATGTGATAAACCCAAATAGTGAATAAGAATGTCAAAAAATAAATCTTAAGCAATTCAAATGTATGAGTCTCAAAATCCAGTCAGCCTGTGGAGAAAAAAAATGATCTTTCCAGTTTTTTTCCCCTCCGATTTGACCTTTTTTTTTTTTCTTAAAGATTGAATATTTTGGGCAGATTTCAGGTCCCTTCTTTTGGTTTCACACTTGACTAATGTTTCGTTTGTCTGCTGTCCACATCATGCTTTTCCCGTGCTGCAGTATCAGGTTTAAAAAATAAAAAACTTACTGAACATTTGATAAAATCAGAGCAGTAAGGATGTATAAAGCAGTGAGTATTTTATTTACTTTTCAGGCTTGAATATGTTTCATATGAAAAGGCAAAAAAATTAAAATTAATACTTCTCTTCGTAGTTTAGGCACATTACAGGAAGGCAAATGTAAATGAGGCCGTCACTTGCAAAAAACAAAGAATAAGCAAAACAAATTACAGATAAAGACCCCTGACAGGTGTCCTAAGTTAACCTGCTTGATTTGACCTCAGTATAGGGAATATTTGTACAACACTATCAGACAGTTCAGTCTGAGACACATTCTGCACGTGTTCACAAGGTGCTGAGGAGCAATCCGTCACTGACGTGATCATGGCTGTGGGAGATGTGGCTTTAATGTGATGTGTGCAGACAGACCAGAAAATAAAAGCAAAGCTAGAGAGAGAGGACTCCATCAACCGATCAGTAAACAGTCTGGAGGAGTACATGCAACGGGAAGGAGCTTTGGGATTAATATCAGAGTGCAAATGCCCCAGCCCTGCAGTAACCAGCCAACCTTCACCCTAAATCATCCTTTATGGCTTAAATGTGTCTCAAACACAGATTCTGAATAAACGGTTTTAAAATCAAACCTGTACGGACACCACTGCTCTGCCTCCACTGATACCGTCTGCTAAGCACAGACTCCCCCCGTCCCTGTAGCGTCAGCGCTGGACGGACGGACCGTCAGGGCCTTCACCACACCGGAACCATTGGTCTAGTTCATGTGGCCTCTGTTTGGCAGTGCATTAATTCACTATTTGGTCACTGCTGATCTTCAAAAATTAATGCCTTACGCTCAGAACCTTAGATCCACGTGAGCGTCGCTGAAACACATTCGATTCATCGTGAAACTGGAACACTGGGATGAATAGCTGATGCTGCAGCATCATATTAGTAAGAAGAAGGATGATCACCATGGACACGGTCCTGAATCCCTGGTTCACACACCTGTTAAAATACAAGCTTTGATTTTTAATAAAATATATACTATGACTACTTTAATATGACGCACGCTGTGCAAGTCGAATGTTATACTTTGATTCAGCAGCTGGATCTTAAACTTGACATCAATCTGAGATGAAGCTAAATCATTACGATTCCTACAGGGCCTTCAGGTTTCTTACACTTAAATCTCAGAAATCAATGTCTTATTTAAATGTAATTATCCTCAATGGAAAAATTGGATGTACTGTATATCCTACATTTCATTACCTGATTATTAGTTGTTCAGATTTTATGCAATCCTTCCTAGATTCTGAATTTTAAAATGTTCTGATTTCCTCTAAAGTAAACTTTACTCACTGACATCCAGTTTTTTTTATTTTTATACAAGTCTAAGCAAGTCCTTAAATTCAAAATCATGAGGATCTTAAATTTTGCTCAGTGAACCGGTCAGTGGGATGGTGAGACACAGCAACACTAAAGGAATTTCTGGAATGTTCTGTTCTAATGTGTAACAAAAATCTCCTGTTTTCTTCTGTATGTGTGGATAAAAGTGTTTTTAAAGTCAAAACTGGAACAAAAAAAACAGCTTCTCTAAAAGAGCACCACAGTGAAACATGGTGGTGGCAGCATTATGGTCATGGGTTGCTTTTCTTTGGATGGAACTGGAGGATTTGAAAACAATGGATATCTGTTAGAAACCAGAAGATGATTTAAGTTAAAAATTAAAGGCAGGAAACAAAAAACAGGATTTCACCCATCAAAAAAAAAAGTTGCTCCTTAAACAAAAATGAAAATCAGCTTGTTCCACTGTTCTCCATTCTTACAGATTTGTTCTTTTTTTCTTTACATGAAAATGAAGGTGAAACATGTTCTGAAAAAGATTTATAATTCGTTTAAAGCAAGAAAAAAAGAGCTGTCATTTTAACATGGGTGTGTTAGAAGACAATAACATGGTCTGTGGAGGCAAACAAAATCTCTACGTGATACAAAACAAAGAGCAACCATCTTCCAGGCCCAACATGTGTCCGAGCCTGACGGATCAGCGAAGGCTGTGACTGACAGACAGACAGACAGACAGACGCATGTCTGACTGCTTAGTGAAGCAGGACCGTGGAATGATGTGCAGTTTTTGAATTTCTGGAATGTCATCGAGAAACATGGTGGTCCTTAGAACACAAAAACCAGCTATGACCTCTTCCTCACACCTTACACAATAATAAAAGAAAAGAACAGCTCGGTGATATTAGTCCAGATTGTAAGTAAGCGTTAGAGCGGAGGCACGTAATGTCCTTCACGAAGCAGAGACGTTAAAAGTAGCCGTATAAGCCCTCGTGATTCACGCTAACGTAAAGTCACATGAACGTTTAAATAATTGGAACATTTAAAAACATGGGAGACGGCGGCTCTTTGAGAGCAGGTCTGCGGATGCTGTTCTCTGGCCAACAGCACAGCAGGAATAAATATATAAACCATAGACAGCGAGGAGAAGAGGAACCAGAACCGTTCCGGCGCTCTCTCTCTTTTCTTGCACTTGGTCTCCAAACGAAGCAGCTGTTGAGCTTGACAAACAGAGATTACAGTCCAGGACCAGAACGTTCTTTATACCGTTTCTGCTTCCTGTCCGCAGCCGTCAGTTTCCTGTCAGCACCCCCCCTCCCCTTCCAGCAGCGTCCTTCCCTTCTTCCTCAGTTGGGCACAGAGGCCATATTGGGCGGAGAAGGGAGGGGGGGGATCTAAGGGGAATTGAAGGAGGGAGAGCTGCCTGAAATGTAGGCCAAAGCGGTGGTGGGCGTTTCCATGGAAACAGCAATCACAGCAGTCAGTGACATCATCAGTACGGGGAGAGGTGACTGGTCCTCCTCAGCGCCCTAGAGGAAAGACACAGAGAGGATGATGTCCAGCTCCTCACTGTCCTACTGGAAGCAGTTGGGCCGCTCGCTCACCTTCGGTTCTGAGGGTCCATTTGGTCCAACAGGGCCTCCTGGGACACCCTGAAATCATCTATGGGGGACTGGTAGCGAGATTCAAAGGAGCCCTCCCTCCCGCCGTAAGACATGGCCTGGGCAGGCGACTGGGGCAGTGGGGACAAGGAGGATGTTGAGGACACAGAGCCCAGCTCCCCAAAACGCTCCCGTCCCACTTGGGCTGACGCCGGTACCGCCGTGGTTCCTGCTGCAGAGAAGGGACTCAAGACTTCCCCGTTTTCCTCCTGGAAGGAAGACAAAAAAAAAACAAGGAGGGATAATCTCCTCTGCCCTCTAATGTAAACCTCAGAAAAGGTAGAAATGTCTATCCTAGACCAACTCCAACATTTGACATATTTCTATCTGCAAATTTAAACGTGTGCGAAAATGTTAATGATGCTGCAACATTTTCTTGTACAGATGGCATAAAACCAGATCCATTCAGATCGAAGTCAAATTGCTGGTTTGGTTGCGGTTTGAAGACTAAAAAACACACTTTGAGTTAAGAAAACAAAAAGGCCAAGACGCCTTCCTGGAGACCCTCAGCCGGGTCTGATTTTATTTATTCTAGAATGAGTTTAACAACACAAGCAGTTTTTTTCCCTCTAATTTTCAGCAATTATGGTTTGGAGATAATAAAAATCCCAAATTTAGTGTCTCAGAAAATGTAAATATTGTGCAAAGTTATAGCGCTAACTAACACTGAAGTATTGTTTCTACTATTAGCTATAGGGTCGATTGTGGACATTTTCCATCAGTGTCACATAGCTGACGGTGGGCTGCCATCACTAACATAAAGTTCACTTCACAGCATTAACTTCAATTTTTGCCTAAATCTAAAGAAATGCAAACAAATCAAATCCTTTTTACATCGATGTCAATATCTCCGTTTTAACAGATCATCCACACATTTGACCATTTATTTAATACCAAATAAAAGCCTGGGATGAGAGGAATTTATTTTAAAGTACAGAAGGGATTTTTTACCCTGAAATGTAAAATTTATGTGTCAAACTTTAGAACCAAACCAATAGTTGGTTCTATTTATCCATCTATGGAAAAAGTTTTCCATATAAGTGGATAACTAGCATGTGAAAATGAAAAGATGAGCTTGTTGCACTTTGGCCATCAACAAGTCTTCAAATCTAATGCTGGTGTGAACACACGGCACCAGATACTGCTCTGGAAAGGTTAGCCATAAATGAGGTGTCAAAAAGACGAGGACCACTTCTTCATAGATAAGGGAACCGATACCCCAGAGTCGTGAATCTGTAGTCAGTTTTGGCCATCTTAGAATACAGCTGAGAAAATAAAATACCCGTGTGGCTTAAACTAGAACTCCCAGGGCAGTCCTTTTGACCTTTCTCAGATTTTGAAGTGAAAGAACGTAATTTACATTAATCTCATGTTGGTCATGTTAACTGACTTATTCCATTTCTATATTTCCTTCGTTTTCACTTAGTTTTTAAAATAAAAATAAAACCTAAAAAATAAATATGCTTAATTTTACCTTGATCTCCCACAGCCTTCATTTTGACGGCTCTATTAGTTGCATTGCAAATTCTTCCCAAGGTTGATTGACGTTCGTACCGTCAATAAGAAGCGGCCCAGAGTCTGACAGCACTTCTGAGGATGATCCCCCACGAAACGCAGCTGTATCAGTGATCCATCAGACAAGGCTTATAAGCCAGAATGATTCTGTACTCTGATCTTCCAGCGGTGCTTGTGAAGAAAAGCACGGTTTAGCTCTGATGGTTCGCTCTCAGCAGTATAACTCCTCCTGCCCTCGCTACTTAAAGGTATAGAGGACG